TCAACAAACAAATAAACATCAAATGTTAAAGCACTAACATTTAAAAAATACTGGAATTATTATAATAAACAGTATAGATTTGAGTTAAGCTACTTTCTATTGAAAATTATATGTTTTACTTAAATATTGGAAACAAGTTGTTCCCATCACCAAAGGCTCCAATTTCAGATGCCATTTGGCTCAAAATATTGAAAGTTTGGAAACTGGAGAATACCTAGAATCATCACTTTTTTTATTTCTATGGGTAAACTACCCCTCGCGATTAGCAAGCCAGTAGTAGGAGCCAAGGCATTTTCCATGATTGCTTTTCAAGTACATGGACTTGGCTCCCAAATACCTTTTAGGCATAGTTTTCGTCTGTGGTTCTATTAGGTTACATTTAATTCTAAGAATATCAAATCACAGCACTTTTTTCCCATTAGATGGACAGACAGTGAAGCAGATTTCTGATAGGACTTAAGGATGCCTAAGAATACTCATCAAAGTCCACAGTGCTCCACAAGTACTTTGGAGTAAGTTTTACCCAAGCATGCCTTCTTTTCAATAGCTCATATAGTTATGCTTAGTTGGTTTAAAAATGTTTTAAATTACAACTAAAGGTCATTCTCCCCCCAATTTTAAATCCTCTCACAAAGTGATGTTCCAAAGATTAAAAGTCAAGATGTTCATACATTTTTCAAATAAATCCTGCCATTTTACAAAGTTATTTTAAAAGAAAAACTCACAGAATCTAATTCCAGCTCCCTCAGATCACAGGTCCCTAGTCCCAACATCCCTCAAGGTGGTCATGTGTCCAGTTTAAATATCCCCACTGGCCGAAAGTCCATAACTCTGTAAGGATGCTCACTCCACTCTTTGACAATATTTATACTTCATCTTCTTTATATTTAATCCAAACCTACTGTAATTTTTGCCTATTGTTTCTAATCATGTCCTTGAGATATAAGATACATGAGTGTTAGCTCTCATTTTAGTAGTGTTTCTAAGTTTCATCCTAAAGTCTTGGTTTCAAATACAATTTTAAGAACAGTACCAAGACTCCAAGGAAAAAAATGCAAAATATCATTCTCTTGCATATTACTATTCTCATTTCATATTTCATAGAAGTAAAACATTGATGGCTAAAGAGTGACCAGCACAATAAAGCCTTGATTGAGCCCCCAGCGCATGCTCCCCAAGAACCCTGGGGTTTTCCGCCCAGTGGAATTTGTTTCTCGCATTCATTTTTAGATCCTTAGTATGGAGTTTTGTTTCTCGTATTCATTCTTAGGTCCTTAGTATGGTGCCTGCATCAGAGTATGTGATAAATATATATTTAAAATAAATGATTAAATGCACAAATGTATGATTGGTTCACAAACATGATTAAACAAACAAAATAGAGACAGACTCATAGACAGAGTGCAGGTGGACAGCTCTGGTCTGGGAAGTCGGTGAAGGGATTGAGCAAAAAAGAAGAAAAAAGGGAAAGAACTCATGGACATGAACAACAGTGTGGTAATTGCAGAAAGAATTGGAGGTTGAAGAGGAGGTGGGGAGAACTGGTGATGGAAAAAAAAAGAGAAAAAATAAGTAATGCTTCAACAGCCTTAAATTCTTTTTTTTTCTGCTTCTTTTTGGGATCAATTCAGTGACTCCCAGTATCCTGGGAGAACAGGTGGTCCAAGGGTACAACTCCTTGCTTAGAATCCTATTTTCAGGATTTTCATTACACTATGAGGAGACAGCCTAGAATCCACAGATGGTCACAGGGGTATAACCCACATATAATCCAGTCATTCAGGTGACTTCAAGGGGCACATTATTTACATCATTCAATGTGGAAGAAGTTGCCATAATTGTGGACTCCCCTGGTGTGACTAAAACGGAAATGTGCTAAACCTCTCTGGCAGCTTACTTCTCAGAATAAGGCTGGTTGGAATTCTATAAGATCATCAAGGTCAGTGGATTTTTTTTTGTCCTTCAAGCAAAATGGATATTTGTCCCAGAGGGTGATTTCATTTTGATCCATCTTGAGCATAATAGCTGAGGAGGATTTGGGTATGTGCATGGAAAAAAATCGATGAAGGTAGAGGCAGAAAGCCTGGGAGCAGGACTATTGCCACGGTCAGACAATTGGAAGGACTGGCGATGAGTGATGACCAGGACCCAGAAAAGGGATGATGGTGTCAAAGCCAGTGAGTGGCTTGGCAGAGAAAAAAACTCTAGGCCTCCCAGCCAGTCAGCTGAATATGGAATTCGGAGAATGAAAAAGTCGATTCAGAGATGGTTCTATAAAACATGTGCAGAAGCTATTTTAGAGTAAATAAATGTTTAAGCTCAGTTAGAAAACTCTCTAATTTAATGGGTGTTCTACTTTTTTTTTTCCAAAATGAAAATAATCCATTTAAGGAGAGCGATTGGTCCTTTTACTTGATGGTTATAATGAGCCATTTTCACAATGATCAATTTTACGTTGAAATAGTGCAATTGCATAAAATAGCATGCTATTCCAGTGATTTCATTAGCTACTCCCACAGAAAGGAAGCCAAGCTACTCAGACTCCAGCCCACATCCAAGTTACTACACCTTCCGGGCAATAGCTTGTCCTAATCCGGTGTCAGTAGGCAACCTCCTGAGTATCAGTCCTGAAACTCAGCTTGGGAAGCGTGCAGGCATCACATCGAAAGAAACTCTCCACTTGAGACCCACAATAGCCTAGACAAGTTTCTGGGCTCGGGTAGGCTTTCTGCTTCATGGAAGGCAGCATAAATAATGGCAAGACCTCTTGGTCGTGGATTTTATGGCACAGGCACCAGCAAATGCCATGTGCAACTGAAGGTCCATACAGTCATAAACCTAAGCTTAGTAACAGTAGAAACAATAATGAATACATGGAAATTCTCTGGTACCTTATCTCTGACTGTGGGTGATAACTATACATATACAGATGATTGGGATGCTTCTAAAATGTTTTCTCTCTTTTAAACCTATGCAATATATGTGTGTATAGTATACAGACACATATATGTGTACAAATATATTTCTATGTGTTTGGGGTGGGCTGGCATATGCACAGAGTATTACTGATAGGACATACAAGCGGCTATGTCTATATGTTTATTAGGTAAATACTATTGATCGCCAGAAAGTGGGACAGAAGTCACTACACCCTGGGCTTTGCCTGTGATACTCATCTATGGTCTTAGAACCTTTTATAAAAAGCAGGTTCTACTTTCACAGCTTAAAAAAAATATTTTTAAATAAAGTTGGCATGGGAAAAAATAAAACTGCTGCCCCACATTTTCTATGACCTGGATATTTTGAGAATCTAGTAAATAAACTTCAGAAATCCTTTCAGCAAAGAAACTGTCACTTGGTCCAAATGAAAATTAACTACCTGTTGAGTATCTTTCAAGGCAAACAGATCTGCCTAAGCACCGAAGCCAGCGATTAATGAAAGACGGGGAGCCGTGGGGGTCATGGGATTCCCATCAGTCACCACTCATTTCACGACTGTGCTTGCCAGCTCCATTCCGTTTCAGGAATTGCATCGGATTTAGGTTGTAACCTCCGTAGAGGTAACAGGAGCGCTCAGCGAAATCCCCAGCCATGGTGCTTCTTTCCTCCTTGGCTTCTGTGCTTTGTCACGCCCTTGACTGGGACAAAGCACAGCTTAACTGGGTTCTATTTTATTAGTTGTGTAAAACTGGAACATAGGGCTTCAAAAATGACTATCATGTTGCTTTTTAATAACTCTCCATTTCTCAGCCCTCTATCAGGCTAATCTAAACAGGGAATCCAAAGGCAGACAGGCCCCAGCTCATGTCAGCTGAATGTTGGCCGCTCTCAGCAGTAGTTTCAGTAGGTTTTGTAGAAAATGATATTTCTACAGGTATACAGTTTTATTGTCTTGTAAATGTGGCTTTTCAGACCAGGGACAGCCTCTTTGCCTCTATTTTTCCTGAGGGCCCATTAAAAGGGGGATACCATATACCTAAGCTGAGTTGAAAACTCCTGGAGCATAGGCCCTCTGCTCTTTCTAAAGCCCAGGACTGTTCCATGCAATGATCAATTAAAAAATAAAATGCTACAGGAGGCAGATGCAATATTGAAACCATTAAATATGTAACTGTTTTTGCTCATTTTTAATGTTTTTCTTTTTAAGCCCAAGTCCTGGGGGTGTTTGCTTTTCTCAAAGAGATATTCGCCTTGGTCATATATCGTTCTCCACCAATAATGTAGGACTCTAAGACTTTTTTTTTTTTTTTGGAACGATTTCCAAATGTTCCAAGACTCCTGCAGCAGTCAGTACATCATCAATTTTCATTCCAGGGGTTGACTTGTTACTTCACTTGGAGCTATTTGAATTGGCCCCTAGCCACCTGTACCCTAAATTTTCTCTGGGCTGCTTTGAAGCATTACAGAGAAATATGAGATGGTAGTTGGTGAAAATAGTCCTTCATCCCAGCAATGGCAGCTGGGTAACGGACTGCGTGGCCAAGTGTTTGGCTCAATCTTGGGAATGGAAGGCACCATCCAAAGCCAGATTTCAGTCTGTTTGAAGGATTATATTTCTGTCATCACAACATCTCCTGGACAGATCCACCAATTGAAAAACTCCCAGCAGAAGCCCAGTGATTAAATTCTCCTGGAGCATAATTTTTTCCAGCTTCTGGAAACAATCTACTGCAGCTCCTCCTCCCCTCACCATAAAACCCAAAATATAGTTCCATTTCTAAGACTGATCTGTGGAAATAGATTACTCGCAACCAACCCTTCCTCCCACAGCTGAAAATAATGCCAGCCGTTTGATTTCGAAACGACTAAGCCCCATCCACGGAGAGGTTATTCCTACTTAACAGTATATCATATTTGTACTTTCAAAATGAGATGTGACCGAAATGTGATTCAGACCAGCAGCACGTCGCTGCTGGACCTTTAAATTAAACATAGAGAAACAATCGTGTGCGCTCACATGCAGAAAGAGTCAGGAAGCATGATGCTTATGTCTGAGAGTGAAGCAAAACCCTCTATCACCCACTTTCATTTCTGACTTACACCCAAGTCCTGTAGACATTTTCACCAGAAATTAGAAGTCTTCGTCTCCTAATATTGTAATTGTCACAATGTCCCTAATAGAAGTACCTGTAAGTTTCAACTGCTCTGTGGCAGGATTAGAAGCTACCATTCCACTGCCAGAGAAACATTCCTGGCTGCACTCCCACAGAGGTTTGTACTAAGAATTTTCTAGCAGAAGAAAATAATAGATTACCCCGCACATGTAAAATGGGGCTATAGTGCTATCAGGTATGACCTTGGGAGCTGACCAGGAGTAGGTGGAGGCATCCATCAGAAAGGGCCACGCATCCTGGAAATCTGGCAGTGAAACTCACACAGCAAGGCTTTGTCCTTGGCATAGGGCGAACTTGGGGTAATGAAAACCAGAAACTTAGAAGGAAAACCTAAATGGGCCCCTCTCACCACTGTACCCAAGAGCCTGTACTTATTAGCCTCTGTGCAAAGTTCCAGTGACTGTTTTCTTACTTAAGTGAGTTATTTTGACATATGTTGCTACTTTTGCTTCTGCTGTTTTATTTCAAGTCCATTAGCCTGCTTTCCATTATCACTCAAAAAAGCCTAGAAGTGAACGCTGGCACCGAGCTCCATTTCCTGTAGCCACAGTTCCCACACGTGGTTTTTTTTTTTGCTCTGCAGTTGAAACAGCACTTAAAGTTAAGTGCTTCTGCAGACTAGCTATGGGCCTTGGCTTAGTCCATTGCTCACCTCTATTGCAGCAAAAGGCAAAGATGGCTACACCTGGGCAGTACGGAGCTGTCCAAACAGCCCAAGCTGAACCTGGCCTTTGTGGCCATCAGTAACAGGCCCGCACAATGGGGCCAACCCCTGGGTTACCTTTCTGAGGTCCCCCTGAGAACAGGAGACTCCCATGCCACCTCACCATACCTCAGCGATACAATGCACAAGTTGACATTATCCATGTGGCAACTCCCAGCTCCCAGATGATGAAAAAGAAATGAGCAGGGAGGGGTGACATGCAAAAAAACGTCACTAAGTCATCCTGGTATATTTAGTCTTGGAAATGGAAGCAGTTTGACAGTTACATTTCTGCAGGACAACCAGAGGGTTTCAAAAGACCTTCAGACAGTCTTGTGGTCTTCAAAGACTGAATGTAAAGAGAACAGATTGTATCGAATTTTTTCTGGGTGGTTACAGGCAGAATGGTGCGGTACAGGGGAAGGTGAATGCATAGGGGAGAAGGGAGCAGTGCCATTTATAGGAACATCCTTTGAATCTTTAAAATAAATGATACAGGTGAACACAGAAGTTCATGCTACTTGCTGGAAGCAATAAAGATCAAATTTTGTGGAACTCAGTTTCCACCAATCTCCAGGTATCCTGCCTCGTCCTCTGTGGGCTATTCCGTTCTGTTGTACATCTCGGTAGCCCTTAAAAACTGGTGGCATGGCCTCAGATGCTTGCAGGAGCGAGACAGATTTATGGATTCCATCAGCTTCTTCCAGGGGAGCTGCCCGATCGCCGGGAGGCCCAGGTGATATGCTCGCTCAGGTTCTCTTTGCCCATCTACCAGGGTCAAACAGTCGTTTCCAGGTCCTCATGGCCAATGATCTTATAGTTCTGACGGCTTTCTAGGTAAGCAGCCAAATCAGGGTCCCCAGCCTGCTGAGCTCTGTCTTGAGGTGTCTTACCCTGCAGGTAAAAAGGAAAGAAACACACACACACCTGAGATGAGATTTTTTTAAAGATCCACAGGAACAGAGATACTCAAAGATGACGCGGTAATAAGGATCTTTCCATGTTACTGTTTCAGAGTTAACAAGACACTTTTCAAGCTATTATCTGATGGAAGCGAGATACATATGCTCACGAGAAAGAGACCATCCTTGTGGACAGGTGGGGGTTCCCTCTAAGAAAGCATAGAGTCTAATCATAGGATCAGAGTCTAACTGAGTGCACAGCAGGAAACTTAGCACAGTGAGTTCTGGAGCCCAGACCCTCTCTGGAAGCAGGTGTAGAGAAATTACTCACTAGATAAACAGGGAAGCAGGCATTCGACGTCTAGGTTAGGACTCTTTCTATTATACTAACTCTGGGAAGGGATGGTCTTAACAATCTAAAAGGGTTTCTTTGCTGGTTTTCAAGATTCTTTCCCCTATTTATAACATTCTCATCTCTCCAAAGAGTGAGTTAATTTCTGACTATAAAATTGATGGGTGTTGATTAAAGAAATTTTGGAAAAGTAGAAGAGCATAAAAAAGAAATAAAAATATATTCCAGAACACTAAGATAACCATTGTTAACCTTCTGTGGAATAACTATTTTTCTTTTTCTATAGCTGTATACATAATTATTTTTATCAAAATTAAACCATATTTATATACTGTGGTTTAACATGCTTTTTCACTTAATAATATGTCAAACATTTTTATGTCATTCTTCTGCATCATGTTGAATGATTATGTAATGTCTTGCAGCCTATTTTAATGCTATATGTGTATTTGTAAGTACACACACACACACACACACACACACACGATATTTTTAAATGAGGCCAATGAATGGAAATCAGTAGTAAATGGAGGGAAGGTCTCATTCTTTTGAATGCTTCTGGATATTACTTGACACTCCTTGAAACTTTTTTAAATTTTTGTTTAATAATATAGTCTTTTCTATTTAAATAAGTGATATTAAGTTCTAAGGAAAAGGTAGAGGCATGATCATTGTACTAAGGAAATAGCTCTATGCATAAATGCACATAAGTATGACAAAAATTATCAAAAACTTCAGCCTTCAGTTCAGTTAACACAATGGATAGTGTCAACCTCAATGAAGCCTGTTCCTAGTAGCTTCTAGGGGATGCAGGGCAGAGGATAAAAAGGAAATAATAGTGGCTCTGGGCTCTTTCTAAAATTTTACTTTAGTTGGGATTTAATATTTATCCACTAGCTTAACATTACTATTATAATTTTATCCCACTTGTTTATGGTATTAATAGACTATCTTGTGCTTACTTCAATGTTAATGAAGTTGGAATTTCTATAGCTTCAAATTTTCAGGGAGATGGACAAGGGTGGGCCTTTGAGATTTTTTTTAAAGGAACTGTTCTCTATTAAGAGAAATTCTCCAGATATTGCTTCTCTCCAAAAAACCCCAGTAGATTCAGTCATGATGATCATATGTGATGCTCTCACCTAGCATCAAATTACAAAAATGGAAAAACAGAGGATCCCTGAAAAGGATGAAGCATAGGGATAGTACTTTGTATGGTAAGATCTCTAGAACAGAATGTTAGGAGTAAACTTAAGTCATACACTAGCATGTATAGTCTGACTTTATCAACTTAAAATAATGAGAGAGAAAAATAGACATACTTTCATGTGAAGTGAGATCATTAAAATTTTAATAACATATACGTCTAGTCTAGAATGTAGAATTTTCTAGCTATTTCTACTCTCCTGTATTGTTTGCACAGCTCGAGTTTTCTATGTGAGAACACACTCTATTTATAATCACAAAAATAATACAGCTGTTTGTGTTTTGGAAAAATACACACACATACATAAAATAAAGTAGGAAGAAACCTCAAGGAACATGGAGCCCATTCATCTGATACAGAAACTTAGAAAGATGACACAGAGCAATCTGCTCAGGGGCCAGGTCTCCTGCCATCTTTTGTTTGTCCTCATCTACATATATTCAAATTCTTCTCTGCCACCCTCTGTGTTAAGTGGCTTCTCTTTTCTTGGAGTCTCCCCAGGGTGCTTGAAAATTCTCAGAGCTGACCAGGCTCCTCTATGAGGTTGATTGGTATTAACTCTGCTCTCTCTCACGGGCCTTATTTGTAGGTCAATGCTACTCAGCTATACCTCCTCCTTTACGCCAGCTCTCAGCCCTTTCCTTGACTGCTCTCTGTAACTTGGAATGACTCATGGTGCAGCCTGACCTCCCATCTTGGAAGTGACTGGAAATCACTTTGGCACCCCAACATGGGGCCACATAAATCACAGATTTTAAGCTACACTGGATTAAGCAGATGAAGGAGAAATCCCAAAGGCAAGGTCAATGTCTGTGAACATAAGCCTGACCCCTCTCCCAGGGCTTTGGATCTCACCTCTCGGCAGCCAAGGCATTCGGCAGGAGGAGAACCCCAAATCCCAAGGCCAGCGCGTCCTTCAGAGGTTTATAAAGCCCCATAGGCGAGCACACACCCTCCCTTTGTGCTTATACATTTAAACTGCAGTTTCTCTAAATGAAGCACTTTATTTTTTCCTCCTTTTTCCAGAGCCCCCCGGCACTTCCATAGGCACAGAAAGGATGCCTCTGCTGTGGGCATAAGTGAAGGCCACAGCGCCTGCGATGTTGCCCAGTGGGTGGATGTTTGCACTCACTCATCAAGTTACCTTGGAGTCCGTCTTTCTCAGAGATGCTCCTGCGTCCACCAGAAGCTGGCACACGGCCCGGTTCCGCTGGCAGGCAGCCTTGTGCAGTGCAGTCTCACCCCTAAATCAAAGATGAAATGGAAACCACCCATAAAGGGGCTGGGGGCCGGGGTGGGGGTGGAGGCTGCTGGGAGGGGGTGGTTTCATCCTACCCCTGCTGCTGATGTTCTTTCTCTGTCTGAGGCTGAGACCTGGCTGCAGGCAGGGCCCATTTGGGGGAGGTGGGGGAAAGGAGCTAAAGTGCTTGAGTTAGTCATCCTGTAACCACAATATCTGACTCCAGCCTCTTTTTTAAACAGTGTTGGTTAATTCGGCCGAGCGATTTTGTTGTCAACTACTAATGTTTGATTTAGGCAGGACTCCATGGCACTGTTAGACTGATGTGTGTGGCTGTATCTGAACACTGGGAACAACACTCTGTATGGATACGCTGAGTGTGAGGATGCTAGATGAAGCTCAGAGGGAACAGCGATGGGGAACCAGCACCCCTCAGACCCATCACAGGAACTCAACTGCAAGGAACCAGGCTAACACTCACTCAGGCCTACCTACTGGATTCAACTCCAGGGGCAGGTGGAAGGGGAGGGGCAGCCACAGGGGATCTGGGAGGCACAGAGGGACTTGGGGAGAGAGCTCAGAACTAGAGCCGTCCCCAGTCGGCAGCAGGCCCAAGACCAGCCAGCAGTCATTGTGGGAAGTGGGCATGAGAAAGTGGTTATTTCTGCTCCTTTAATAGGCAGAAAAGGAGGAGGATTTTTCCCATTTGGAATCCAAGACTGAAAAGATACTTAATGCTAAAGTGTTTCGTGGAAAATCAAATGCAGACCTTAGAGCAGGGAACTGGGGTCAGTGGCGCCTGTCCTAAGCTCCGCATAGCAACGGGCAGTTTCTTCAGTGACGGGTAACTAACTCATGGCTACTCCCCTCCACCCCCGTCTTTCATTCTATTTGTGTCTGGTTTTCCTCCACCATCCCCACTTCCGCTCCCTTCCCCATCCCACTCCAGCCCGGCTATTCTTTATCTTCTTTTGAATTTCTTTGGAGTTCTCTAGTGCTTCTATATGGTTTTCAGGGTTAGATGCTTAGCCTTATTTGTTCCTGTTTGGAGAATAGCAGCTATTTTGCTACTCTAGGGATGGGGGGAAGTTGAAAGAAAAAATTATCAGTTTGGGGATCATCCCAGATCCTCATCTGAACTGCAGAACATGAAAATGATTGGAGTTACCATATTCTCAGTTCTCCGGTGGCTGTATTATAGGCATTGTTCCATTCTAGACTTGGCAAAGAAGTTTCATTACATGCAAGAGAGCATTAGGGCTTAATTTTCTCACAAACCCCAGTTAACAAAGAGTTAAAAAAAAAAGCTAAATGTATTTTTTTAGACTTCTCAGCACCAGTGTAGAAGTATATTGCTTGTAGGAACCTCTAAACGATGAATCTCAATGACTGAGGGTGCAACCATTATGATACTTGCCATCAACTTTTATTGTGACTTTTATTTTTGATTTAGAAGATTAGCCCCGCACAGTTATAAATACAATAGAAAGTGGCTGTTTTATCACTGACATGAAAATTAGCTACTGTATGCTCTAGACATGGCATGTTTCTCCTAGATACATTCTGAAGAATAATCTGGACTATGTAATAAAAGTGAGACTCACGTTTCGCTGTCTGCCATATCCAATAACTCGGAAGGTCCTAAACAGGAGGAAAGCAAGACATGCCCATCAAACATAAGTTTAAAAAAACTATTAATAAGAAAATCTATAGTCACAATTAAAATGCCTTGGAAAGCTGCGTAAGAAAGAGCACTTGTGAGAGGGATCATGGGCCTCCTCCTCCCCACCAATCTCCCAATCACCGCCAGCTGAGATGTGCAGAATGGGAGCCACAAAAGAGTGGCATGGCCTCCGCCTTCCTTCCGGAAGCTTTCAATTAAGTCGAAGAAGTAAAATCAACTGGAATAGACGAAGTGAGAAATAATTAAGTGGCTCCCTTGGGAGGAAGGGGACAATCAGCTGAGCTTTGAAGATTGTTTCTCATTCTCCAGTGGCAGGTACTTTGGGATGGGGTCTTGTGCAATATAACAGTAAAGCGACAAGAGACAATAGATACCATGCGGTCCAATAGCCTTATTTTAGAAATAGGGTGAAACTCTATTTTTCACAAAATTTCCCTTCCAACACCTGGAAGAAATGTTCTGCATAAATATCAAATGATAGAAGCTTCATCATGAACGGATATGTTCTATGAGTTTGCACATTAGCAATGTTTTATATGTTCACTAATGAATTCATTCAGTCTGCACACACTGGTTGGAATGCCCACCTTCCCACTTGCAGCACCACTGACTTCCTCCCCAACCCTCCCTAAATCCCTTACCCTATGCAGCCTGCTGAGACCATTTCCTCCATGACGCCAACTATGACCCCACTCCAAATACTGCACCAAATGTTCTCCCTCACTTTTGTGCTTAGCCCTGTGTCCCATAATTGGGAAATTAATATAATGTATCCCATTGAGACTGTCCCAGACAAGTGTGGATATATAACATTTAAACCGTATTAAAATCACTTGCTGATTTCTCTATTCACAACTAGATTCTCATAAGCCCTTTGAGTTGGTGGCCTTGTGACTAGCATAGAGCCTGGTGCCAAGTAGATGCCTAAATGTTTGGTTGAATGAAAGAATAAAATGTACTTGAAAGTGGCAAACACGGTTCTAGATGTTGAGCATTTTAGTCCTTAGAAATGTGATCCTGTTGATTTGCTCTCTATGCTGTTGCATATCATTATCATTGAAAATTTACTTATGTGATTACTTGCCACCTCATCAGAAGGAGGGGAAGAGGAGGTTAGAACTTTCTAACCATGAAGGTCATTGGGCAAGGAGAAGATGACAGGTGTGATGGGACTTTCACAAGTCACCCAAGAGCTACATTGTCATCTTGGCTTCCTCTCTTTCACATCCATTGGTCGTCAAGGCCAGGCAAACCTTCCGACACCACTTCTGTCCTATTTGTCTCCCTATTTGTCCTATTCCATAAACAGGCCTCCTCATAGGTCTCTGCCTGGAATATAATTAGCATGAAGAAATGGTTACGAAGAAGACTAAAAAACTCTTATGTTATTTAGATTTCCAGGTTTTCGATCTGTCATATTTATTACTTACTTCCAAGTATTTAAACATAGAAGTTCACAGTCTTCACTTGGAACTACCTTTCCTCCATTTGTTCCCAATGTTCCAAAGTGGTCACTTCTCCATCACCCACATGTTTCTCAGGCTCTCCCAGCTCTGAGGGCTTGTTCCCTCCCCTGTCCCTATTGAGAACAGCCTTCCCTTTCTAGCCTCACACCTACATCTTAAACATTTGTAAAGCCTAGTCTCTGACAAGGCCTCTGAAAAGACCACCTTTGGCAGAAGGAATCTATCCCTTTTCTGAACTCTCGTAAAACTTACTTGGGTCTACCCTTGTGCCATGTATTTGATTTTTTGTTGTATGCCTTGTCCCCTTAAATCCTTTCTTCTAAATTCCTTGAGTATAAGAATACTTTTACTTTTCACATTCCTTGAGGATCTACCCTACATTAAGGATTCAACAAAGATTTAACTCATTCATTTCTGTTCCTCAGTCCTGTGGTTCTAAGGAAAGGTGAATGATGACCCTCCCACATCCCCCACCAAACAAGTGCAAGGCAGCAGAGTGCAGTGGTCAGGATCAAAGGTTTACAATTCAGCTCTAGCTGCCACTTAGTAGATCTTGGGCACTTTCATTTTATTTCACATGTAAAGAAAGACTGATAATAATATGTATCTCACAGGAGTGCAGTGAGGTTTCAGAAGTTAATAAAAGTTACGTGCTTAAGACAGTAGCTGGCACACGACACACATGGCCTAAAGTTTGTGTCTTATTCTCTGACATGACACAGCAGGTCACACCATGTCAAGATGTTGGAACGTCAGTAAAGGAAAGCTATATAAAAGGGCCACTTCACTCCTACTTATACTAGTATATAGAGCCCCCTGTGGACTAGAATTATATGTCCTGAGAACCAAGGACTCCAGGCCTATTCAATTGCCAACAGGACACTTTCCACGAGGTCAGGAGCAGTGTCTTAAGGGTGGGTGCTTTTAAAGAACCCCTGTCACCTTCAGCAAACTTCTCAAGCCATCTATTTTTAAAGGACTCCTATGAACACAAGCCATCCAGCCTCAGTAGCAGTGTGTTCCCATCATTGCTGTGAATTGCATACTTAGGCCTTGCCCATTTCCCTCCTTATTCAGCACTCAGACCTGCGCCTATGATGGATCCGTGGCCTCTAGGGTCCCAGCCTCCATGCAAGTGACAGGACCCTGAGCAGTTTCATCTGCACTAAAACTGCAACTATTTGGCACCCTGCGAGGGCGGACAAGGACGAGAAAGGACCTTGTTCCTCACATTCTGACAAGAGTCGCCATACATGCAGCCAGCCCAGAGCCGGTCAGCCCATTCTGAGTAGGCTTGCCTGAGTCTGCTTGTCATTTTCCCTTTCTCCCCTCATCTTCTGTGGCTGATGGAGGTGCAAGAAAGAGGCACCGATGCTAAAACAAGATACATTTGTTCTTACTCAATATCTAAAGAAACTCCAGTTAGAGGTTTTGGGAATTTCTCTGGAATAATGAACTTAACCCAAACCTTCCTACTTCTCCCATCAACACACCTTCCCAGCATCACAGAGAAACAAAAATAATCAAAACAGACCACAAAAATTCTCCTGAAAAAAAGTAGATAATAAGAGCATCTGTGATTTTTGGAAAGTTAATTTGAGTCTCACTAATAAGGGAAAGAACAGGAGAAAGAGAGGAAATAATAGATACCAAAGGGGAACATATGGGTGTGGGCTTCTTTTGCATTTTATGTGAACATATGTTCTGACTGTGGATACCATGCCGTCTCCCCTGAGGAATTTGGAGGAATACCATTACATTGTCAGTAAAGAGCTCACAATTGTTCCCTGGACATAGAAGGGAACCTTGGCTCTCTGTCCCTCCCAGGACTCACTACAATGTGCACACTCCATCCCACAGCTGACCTGCACCAGAAACAACTCTTAACCCCATTGAAGGGATATGGGGAAATGTCCCCATGAAGTTTTGAGAGGGAGGCAATCACTGCCCTTCCACAGCCCTGCACTAGTTATCACTGGTACCCTGCATAGGACACTCAAGTCAAACAACTCAGCATTGTGGTTGTTTGTCCATGTTTCACTGCCCTTTGCTGGGTCTTAGGAACATGGAGGGCAGAGACCACATCTTATATTATATGTGAGTTTTGACAACTAACCAAATTTCACTATGCTTCAGTTTTTACCACCTGTCAAATAGAGATAAGAGAGCAAACTGTGTAGGGCTATTGTAAGAATGCAATGTGTTCATACATATAAAGCATCCTATATAATAAAAACCTAATTTGCAAATCAACCGAACGGCAGAATGATCGGTCGGCAGGGGGCAGGGCTGGTGAGTGGGCAGCGCCACGCCAGCCAAGGCGGGTGCCAGTGGACAGAGGGAGGGGACGGCAATCGGGGGGCAGGGGGCGGCAGCAGTGGTGGAGGGAGGCTACCGGCAGCAGTGACGATTGGCCCGGGGGAGCAGGCCTAAGCAGTCAGTCGGACATCCCCCGAGGGCTCCTGGACTGCAAGAGGGTGTAGGCCAGGCTGAGGGACGCCCCCCGCAAGTGCACGGATTTTCATAAACCAGGCCTCTAGTTTAGAGTAATAAAGATTAGCAGTGATTGTTACTATAACATTTTTTTCTCAAGATGGGGAGGAGAGAATTAATTTTTCAAGTGAATGAATGAATAAATGATATTTTAAAATTAATGTGGATCCTAACCAAATTCTTGTTTCTTCTCAGAGAAAGATCCGTAAATGGAAGATGGATTCAAGAGACTGTGCTTTATGGGAAATGGTCTGAAAAATGAGAGAAAGAAAAATATGGGGATAGCCATATCAGTGTTTGTGGGTGAAGGCCAGGGAATAGGAAAGGAAGGAAAGCTTGCAGATCTCCCAACACAAGAATGTAAACTGCGTGGTGAGTAGTCAAACCTTCCAAAATGCAGGCCCGCTGCCCAGTGTCCACCCCATAGGCTCTTCCACTGCATACCCCGGTTCTTAGGGATGCAGCTTTATCCACATTGCACTTTATTATATATGATGTGTCTTTGTCACGTGCATCTTTTAATTTGCTTCCCACACCAAGGCATCCAAATCCCCTTTGCTATTCCTTCCACCTCCCCACGGCCTCTCTCTGTTCGGACCTCATTTCCCATTAGTCTCCCTGACGCTGCCAGCAGACCATTCCAAATCCTCCAGTGGCCCAGGACAAAAGCTGCGCAGATTTGGGGAGAGCTGGCACTGGGAACTCTAACAGCACCGTCATCCTGTCCCAGCGGGATGGTGGTCGTTTCTCTCGGGGAACCAGAGGCAGAAAAAGGGGGGTAAAAAAAGAAAAGAAAGACTGAAGGCAGAAACAGAGGGAAGACAAAATAAGCCATTGAAATCAAAAGAGAAATGCATGAGTGAGATTTCTATCAGGAAACACGGTAGGGGGCAACAGGGTGGGAGTGGGGAGAAAAAAACAAAACAAAAGAGCAAACATGTGCAGGGTGGTAAAAGACAAACCACACAAAAGTCCTTTCCAGGATAAAACCAGGGAGGAGGGAGCGGGTTAAAAAGATGGTTGAAAGGAGTTGAAAAGCAGGAACTGCTGGGGGGATTCTCAGCTGGAATCCCTCTGCATCTTCCTCTCCCACCCTGTCCCTTCCTCCTCCTCTTTTCAACCCTCCAAATGCCCAAATTCCAGTTTTTCATAAAGGAAAGCAGCATGTTGTGAATTTGAGACAAGAAGTCCCAAAGAAGATGCAGGAGGAAAAAAATTCAAGCCTCCTGTGGTTTTTCAGAACATAGCATACATCACATGCCCCCAGGCCCCGGCCCGGTTTAAAAAGAGTCCTTAGAAGAGAAATACATTGCTGAATGTGGTGGCTGGGAACATAATCTCCCTGGAATCCTGTTCAGGGGCTGTCCTCCTGATGGGGGACCCCACGGCTCACCATAAATATCCAATGAAGAAGACACAGCAGAGGGGAGAGAAAGGACAAGTAAGCAAATAGGCCACATACAATTTCCATCATGTGCCTTGACAAGAAAGGGCCCCTGATTTCTCAGAAGCCTTGTCATTAAAGGCATCTTTATGGTCAGGTTTTTTTTAAAAAAAAAAACAGTTTTTAGGATTTAAAACTCATATGAAGCCACAGGAAAGACTTGACCCAAATTAAAAACAAAAAACCACTAAAACTTTAAGAGAGATTCAGGCTTCAAGACTAGGAGGAGTGTTCCTCTTGATCTTTAGCACAGTGTAAAATCTTTCTTTGCTTTTAAAAGAAGTTTATGTGAATTCAAACTGCTCAGACCTATCTATAGAGCACAGAAAGGGCCAGGCTTTCCATGGACTTATCTCTGACTTCAGGAGCAGTATAATTTAAAGGGGTCTCTATCATTTATCATAGATGAGTCGTTCTGCAAAGATGATTTTGCCCGAATACACAGGTTAATACAGATTGTATCAGTAACTAAAAATATTAAAACAGACAACAATAAAAATAGACGAGCTGAAGTGCGTAGCTGTTAAGGAACCTGGTGAATTAGGCTGATTATGTCCAAAGATTTTTACATCCATACTCCTAAATAAACAGATTGAAGTTAAGCATGAAGTTGGCAATGCCTATCAGGTTGATGAATACTAAAATCAAGTGTGGTACAGTTCCCACTATTTGGCTATCGTGTTAAAAGTTGAAAAATTGCCGTTTATCAAAAAGGCAGTGATCCTTGGACTGTAAAGCATAATAATATTTTATTTTCAAACAGAAGGAATGGATTTGCTTCACTATCTCCACCGTCTTTCTCTCAGGTCCATCAGAGATTCTGGTGAAGCAGGGAGGGTATAAGATGTGACCATGGGAACTGTTTGCCTGTGAGTGATGTTGGGGTGATTACAGGAATCTGAAGTTTTTTCTCATGAGCATAACTATTAAAACAACTTGTTTACAAAACCTAACCAAGAGAACTGGAAAAATAAGCACTCTCCCCGAAGGAATTAATAAATTCCTTGGTGTCCTTCAGTTTTGATAGAGAGCTGCATCCTGTGATACAATCTTTGCAGCAGATACTGGAGGTGGAAGAGAAACTCCCTAAGTATCTAATGTCAGGCTTTGGTCAAAGCAGTGAGACTGACATGCTAGCTGGACTTCATGTCAGGCAAAGCATATGTGTCCCTATTTCTCATTGGGCTTAGGAACTCCAACCCCTATGAGTGTGGGCTACAATGGGAAAAGTATTAGAGAAATACCATCTCATGCCTCATCACTCATGCCCCTGGGAAGACTCAACTGAGGAGAGGGTTTTCGTTTGTTTTTAGCATATGTATCAAATATTGCATGGGACATACCTATGCTAAAAAGGGGAGAAACTAGTTTAAGAACTTGTGATATTAAAGAACTGTTATTGCTAAGCAACCTTAGGACCCAGAACCAAGGGAAATATAAAAGCTGAGCTCCAAGGATTTCAGGTAGATCAGTAGTTCAGGACATTGAGAAGGCAGGGTCATCATTTCCAGGTGAAGAGGATGGAGAACAGGGGAGGGTGGTAGATGAAATTCGGACACAATTGATTTGTAGCTCCTTCCATGAAGCAGTGGGCTCTATTCCCCCCTCCCTTTGTCGGGACCAGCTGTGACTTGTTTTGACTAACGGAATGCTGCAGAGGATGCAGAACTTTCCAGTCCGGCCTCAAGGTGTCCCGAAGCTTTCATTCTCTCCTTCTGAAACCCTAGGACCATCATGCTGTGAAGAAGCCTGAGATGAAAAACCAGGCACAGAGAAAGACTCAGGTGTCCTGGCCATTCCAGCCACCCCAACTGAGAGCCCCAAACATGTGACAGGGTCTCTCTCTTCTGTACAGATTCAGTCAAAATTGTAGCTGGTTACAGCCTCGTGAGTAAGAGACCCAGGGAGATGCCCACAGGTAACGGATACAGAGAAGAACCTGGAAGTAGGGGAAGTGCTAGTTCTTCAGGAGAGGTAAAGCAAGAGAGAGGGAGAGAGGGTTCCTAACCTGTGTTATCACTCAACTAGGTACCAGTGGCTCACCTAACTCCAGAGAGGGCATGTAAGTGCTGAGTAGCCTAAGGATGCGAACAAGCACTCAATCTCATTGGGTAAAGGGCAAACTAGAAAGAAAGGATTGAGAATGATCTAGAAGACAGCAACTACAGCCAAGCCTGCATGGCTTAGAGGTTGTGTTGATCTATGAACCAGGAGGTCACAGTCTGGGCCCTGGCGGCCTATGGATGATTTTCTCTCATCAGTGATGTTTCTATTTCTCTCCCCCTCTCCCTTTCTCTCTGAAATTTATATTAAAAAAAGAAAGAAAATGAAAAACAAAAACATAAACAAGATGGCAACCTTACAAGACCCTTGTAAAAAAAAATGAAAAAAATAATAAGATGGCCACCTTACAAGACCTTTGTAAAGATTCGATGATGTATTTAGTAAAAGCATCTGGCATAGAAATGTGCTTGATAATGGTAACTGTGTTTTCTATTTGTAGCTTTGCAATATGACTTAAAACATCTATGCAACTGTTTTAAATTTAATTATGCCTATGATTATGATATTTTTTTTTCTTTAGCCTGCAATTGCTTGAAAACAGTGACTGTATTTTATTTGTATGTGTGTACTGGTCTACAACATGTAGTTCTTATTAGGCACTCCACAAATATTTGTTGAATGATTAACTGAATGAATGAATGAATGAAATAAGATGTTTGCTAAACTGAATTAAAAGAAGAGCAGGAACAAGTGTGAATATCTACTATGCTTTCTATTTACAGCCCAAATTTGGATGCAAAGAGGGTTGGCCACAGGCTCACTGCTAGGGCTCACAGCAAAGCTTCCAGGATCTCTTAGAGCTAAAGACTATTCCACTCTCTCCTGTGAAAACAGTCAAGCCAGGCAGATCCTCCCCCCCCCCCTATTCCTGTTCTTTGTCCTAGAAACACTATAAACAAGGAAAGCTGTTACGAATGGTCAAGATGTGGTATTCAGCACATGTGTGTATCCCTCTGAAAGGCTTTTAGAGGAAGATGCTAAAAACTGCAAGATGCTTCCAGCAAATGATATAACATCAAATTAGAGATGCAGGAGGAAGCTGCCAGGGAGGTGAGCATGTCCTGCCGCAGAGGACGTGAGGATACCAGACGTTTCCGAGAGAATGAAGTGTGACTTGAGTTGAAAAGATGAATGAGATTCAAAGAGCAAAAAATAAATAAAAGACTAGAAAGACAGGATAAATACTCTCATTAATCCTGAGAATGATTGGCTACAAATATAGATTAGATACTTGTCCCAACCAGTTAACTTTCCAAAACATAAAAGATCTTCCCCAAACAATAAAGCATATTATCCAGGCTGCATTGGTTTTTGTACATTATTTTTTTAATGAATACGCCCCCAAGTACCCTGTAATGATCTTGATATGAAAATTATTTCTACTCATTGACTGGCTAAGGGTACCCCATGGCTGAGTGGTCTACTACAATCCTGCTGTCTCAAATAATCAGAGAGAGTCAGCTAGAAGTTGGAGAGCATTTCCACCATTCTGAAGACGGCCTGGGTGGAAGTCAACTTACTAATTCAATCTGTTTGCTGGGTAAGTGATCTTGTGCCTACTCACCGTGATCAAGGATATATTTCACAATTTCCCCGTTGCCGGTTTTAGCTGCGTGGTGAAGGAGTGAACAGTGGTCTGGTCCCTGAATTAGCAGACTGCCTCCATTTTTATAGCTTTCTATTAGCTGAAAAAGAGACAGATAAAAAGAAGCTCAGACCGAGGCCGGAACAAGGGAAACAGCTCACTGGTGATAAAATAAGAACAATGCAGCAAACCACAAATGTTTCTAGCCTCAGAGGACACAGACACGTCAGAGAGATGAAGTAATCTTCCTCGATTGTGTGATAACTCAAATAGATGGCCAGTGTCTCACTAATTCCTGAGAGGGCATATAACTCCTGAAATATACCGAATCACTTATTTATTTTCCTGTGTGTGTTTTTTTTATTTGTGCCTATTCCAAGGGAGTGGAGGGTAGAGAAGAGAATGTTTTCCTACTTTGGCTCAGCTTTTTCTTGAAAGAATAATTATAGGCTTGAAAGAATAATTATAGGCAGGATTAGTGTGGTGTCTGGTAGGTAACTCCTTTCCTGTCCCTCAGTTTTTCTTTAATCTCTAATAAACCTAGCTCCATAGAAGCTCCTTTCCATTTCCCTGTGAGAGATCATGCACGCGAGCACACAGCATACACACACCCACACACAGGTATAGCTCCCTTCTTCATCCAGGTCTGCAGCCCAGCCTGCATGCACTCTGTTAATCACCCAGCACCTACTCAACAAGGCTAGAGGTGATCTGCAGGATGAGAAAACGATTCAGAGAACATAGTAGTAGAAACTCAAAATACCTAAAATCTGAAACAGACTAGGGGAAAAAACAGATTTTGCATCTTGAGAATAAGGTAGCTAATGAGGACACAGTCTAAGTTTATGAAATATTAAACATTATAGAAAGTGTAAATGGGTCCCTATTCTCTAAACTATGATATATCAGGATAAGAAGAGCCTTTTGGAGCTTCTAAAATGTAGTTTTAAGACAAATGCCAAACAAATAACCCAGCAGGCAATAAGCAAAAGGAATGTGTCTACCACCAAGAAGTTAGATGGCACATTATAAAAAAATCAACATCTCCTACGGTTCAAAGTTCAAGCTTCTACTCAAATGCAGCCATAGCACTGCAATGTGTCAGATGCCAGGGAAGCAGATGAGGACAACACAGCCACTGGCCTCAAAGACCTCACAGTCCATGGGAGAGACAGATGTGGAAAGAATTATACCGGAATAGGGAGGACCATGATGGGCTACCATGGAGCACCAGGAAAGCATGAAGTGGGGGGTGGAAGACTTCCTAGGAAATAGATTCAAAAAAGAGTAGTTGAATGGAAATCAGGAACTTTCACCCTACACCAGGGCAGTAGGAAGAAGCAGCTAATAGTTTTCAGGTTAAGAGAAAACTAAGAGAATCCTGTTCTGTTTCACTGCATTGTCTCACAGTGACAGTCCCTTCCCTGGAACAGGTCCACAAGGGATTCGGCTCAACCAAGTAGCACAGACCCAATCCATCAGCTGCCTTGATTCTGCCTTTCTGTGGTGTTTTTAGACACTGAGCAGTAAGTTAGTCCTTGGGCATCTCATGCAGCCCAGCTGCTCAAGACAGCTTTCCCACTGGGATGGCTCCTGGGGTCTTTTGTTTTCTGCTGATTTGTGTATTCTCTCTCTCTCTCTCTCTCTCTCTCTCTCTCTCTCTCTCTCTCTCTCACGCACACACACATACACACACACACACAGCCAGTTTAATATTTAATATTGATTTTTGCTTTCTACATGGGATAGAAAAATGAAAGAAAATGGAGAAGAAAAAATGGGAGAAGAAAAATACTAGAAAAAACGTAAGAAAGAAAAAGAAAAGACTAAAAAAATACAACCCACCTAACTCCCCTATATTTCATCTCTCAGAAACAAGGTATTCTTGCATTCTTTCTTAGCCATTTTGGAAATAATTGCAAAGAGAATGTAATAAGACAACTGGCTGAATATAGTTATTTCCTATATCTCAAATAATTCTCTATTAAGTACAAAATATTGTGGCGATATTCCCACAGACCTGGAAAATTCATTGCCTAGACTAAAATCACGTACAAAATAAAATGAAAAGGTTTCAAATGCACCATTTCCAGGATTACATGTTGAAAGATGGCTGTTTATCAAGATGCTTGCAACTGTCTCACCAACTGTTTTCTGCTAGCAACCTGTTAAAAATGGAGCGGAGGGCCAGGCTGTTATAGCTCAGTGGTTGAAGCATCGACCTATGAACCAAGAGGTCAAGGTTTGATTCCCTGTCAGGACACATGCTCCGGGTGCGGGTTTGATCCCCAGTAGGGGGCGTGCAGCAGGCAGCCGACCATTCTCTCTCCTTGATATTTCTATCCTTCTCCCTTCCTCTTTCTCTAAAATCAATAAAAACCTATTTTTAAAAATAAATGGAGCACAGAGGGTCTCAGTTTATTCGACAGTTGTGCCTCAGAAGAAACTGAATTCAATGGCAGTGTTTCTCAGCTTTCTTTAAGGCTTTTGGTTCCTGGATCTGCAATGGCACCATCCTCCACAGGCTGGTGAGGAAGGCATAGCCTGGGCCCTTAGGGAGCTGCCCATATTACAGAGCCGATCAATGCCAGTGTGGGCTTTACAAGGATATATGGGCAGTCATAAGCCCCAATGCCTGAAAAGGATATGGGACCAACTATAGCTTTTAGAATAGTTATAAACTGTACTATACTTTATAACAAATATTTACATTTCTACTATGTCTAGCTCTTAAAAAGACTAACACTATGCTAATAAAATAGCCAACACTTTAGAGTCCTTTCTATGTAATAGGAATAGTCAAGAGCTTTACTTGTCTTATTACATTTGATCCTCACAAAGTGAAGAGAGAGGCAATGCTATTATTCCATTTTAGAGATGATGAAACTGAAGTACAAAGATAAATAGTTGTTCAAAATCATGCATATAGGGAATGGCAGGGCCGAGATCTGAACTCTGGCGGTCTGACTTCAGAATTGGCATTCACTCTAGAGGCAGTGGTGGACACTTCCTTCCCTCTGAATTAAAATTCACCAGAAAGCAAAAGAACAAATTAAACTGTTTTGGTTTACCATGATTCCCAAAATACAAAACTGTAATAATGTTGGAAGACATAGGCTCTGGCCTGAGGAATGTATTTCTGGTTGCTGACCAGATAATTCTTACACATGCATTTATTTCAAGACCTGTCTAAAAAGAAATCTTTAAACTTCCAATATCAGCTTTCAGAGAACAGGAATTCTGGGCACTGTGAGCACTGTATCCTGGGGACATGCAGTCCATTTTTACTAGTGAAGGCAAATTGCATGGTTATCTTACAGAAACCTTTTGCGGTTAGGAAGCATGGAGATGCTGGGAGGACTCCCCTAATCCTCTCTGTTTAATTCTAAAAAAAAAAAAAGCATCCTTCCTCTTTCTACTCAGCCAGCACAGGCAGGGGGTCTGATAAATGACATATGGGCTCATGAAAGTTTGGTGTGAAATGATGTTGACCTGAAGTTCTTAAAAATCAGCAAAAAATTTGGTAGGAAGATGTCTTACCTTCATAAGATCACCAGTTATTACTGCCTGCAAAATTGCTGTGAAAGACAAAAGAGAGATGTCTCATTAGTAGAAGACCCTCTCCTTAAAATACTAAAAATGTCTGGATCCATATTTTGCATACATAGTCTACAGTGGAGGCAGGACCAGGGAAGGAGAAACATGCCAAAGGTTGAATCTTGGAATAGACTAAGGTCTTCTTTGCAGCCCTTCCCTACCTGGGTCCCATCCCCTGTATAATTCTAGAGCCTACCAGAGTCTCCTCTGGCCCTGGTACAACAAAGAGAACATGAAATTTGGAGTCACACAGATTGGGTTCAGATCTTAACTCTGACACAAGCTGTGGAACACTGAGTGAACCATTTAACCCCTCTGAACCTCAGTTTCCCCATCTGTAAAACAGCAAGTCCAAATCTTTTAGGACTCCTGAAAGGATCAATTAAATCATATAAACATTTCTAACTCATCCACTGATGCCTAATCATCATTGTTTTTCTCCCTTCTTTCCATTTCCTTCCACTCTGTCCTCATGGGGTTCAAAAAATCACCAGTAATTTGCTGGTGTGTTTTGTAATGATAAATAAATACCCACTGCTATGGAAATAAAGGGGACTAGAAAGAGTGAAGAGGAACCACATATATTTTAATTATGTTTTGAAGAAAATAGTCATGTGTTAAGCATCTAATTCAATGGTGACTCTTACAGAAAGAATTCCAGAAGTCTTGGTTAACCTAAACTAATTGTCCTTGGAGGAAAAATAGAAGTGTATGTGCATGTCATGTGGGGTGTAGAAGAGGAATGAGAAAATATGACTGATAAAAGAGGAACAGAATATACCTATGTCTAAGGGCAATTATGGTTTCTAGAGGGATTATATGCAATAGGTTGGAAATGGTGGCTTTCGAAATATAAATACCTAAAACTACACCAAAGATAGATTATTTTAGGCTTTCATGTCACAAAAATTTAGAAGAAAATAATGTATTTTTCAAAGTGTCAATTTATTGTTCTTGTTTGAGTAATCTCTCATTATAAGGTTAGCCAACAACTCAGTATCATGCATCAAAGTACATGGAGCCTTTGACAGGCCCTGAGCAAAGCCCTCCAAACTTCCATACGAGCATTTACGAGCCCTGAGGGACCAGAGGCAAAGGACCAGAGGCATGTTAAACTCATCCACTGGCCCACGATGCAGTGCCTTCCCTCTGATCAAAGCAGAAGCCTTGAAAACCCGTGAAAATGATGAGGGCTGCTTGAACACGGAGGAAGAAGGAAGAAGAAAGAATAGAGGAAAAGGGGGGAACAGGAAAGAGAGGGAAGAATGTTTCCATAACAAGCTGTAAGCAACATACTCATTCCATCTCCCTAAGGCACATGCACAATGCTGTGTACATCTCAATGCACAACAGTTAGTTGTTGGACGGTCTGAAAAGATGGCAAAGGGAAAGGAGAAAAGGAGAGAGATAAAAATAAGACAAAAGGAGTTAATAAAATATTAGGTCAAAAGAACCTAAGAAAATGTGTCTCATTCTTCATATTATGGATGGACACTGGGGTTCAGAGTAAAGTGACTCTCTTGGGGCACAGAGCTAGTGGTCGTCCAGTCATCACCATCATGCAGGTCCCTGTGTCCAGTCCAGGTCTCTATCTAGTGCCCTCCTTGAGCTCACAATGCAAGGTCTACTAGAGGCATATAGAAAATAGAAGAAAATAGTCTCTATAGGTTATAAAGCTTATAGTGTTGTGGAAGAGGCACTGGATTGGAGTCTTAATTCTAATATCTGTAATTTACTAGATAAGTTTAACAGCTGTCCTGCTCATCTCTCTGTAGTAGGGATAAAACAAACAAACAAAAAAGCTTTATAAACAGATATGTAATATTACCAGAGGGGTAGCTTTCAGGACTTTTGAGACTATCCATGAAAATGGCATGCAAACACTTCAGAAAGGAGCCTAGCAACAGGGTAAAATTGGTGTGTGGAGTCAAGCAGACATAGCTCTGTTAATACAGTGCCCATCAGGTGAAGGCACAGCTGAAGGAGCCAAAGGGACGCTGTGTAACTCCAAGATGTAAAGCCTACCTCAGAGGCAGGGAGGGAGAGGCCGAAGAAAATATTAGTGATTGCAAGTATAAGAAAACAAATCAGCTTGGACTTTTATGCTACAGGATGCTCTCTTCACTGAAGTAGATTACCCATATTAGGAAAGAATTGAGGTAAGGGAAATTGCCTGAGCGGGCAGTTAATGCAGAGCTGAAACTCACACACACTTGTTCAAAGCTGCATACAGCCTATGGTTTTCAAGATCATATTAAAACCTTTCCCAGAAATTAAAAGAAAAAAAAGAGAAATAGAGGAAAAAAGTAATAAAGGAGAGAGAAAAGAAAAATGAATTCATTAGCTTAAAGCACTTGTGTAATAAAATTTGGTGTAAGTAATAAATCAAGACAATGAAGGAATTCCCCAGGACCAAGTCTATTTAAGTAAAAAGTAAACGGAAGGAAGGAAGAAAGGGTGGAAGAAAGGGAGGGGAGAAGGAAGGAAAGGGGAGAGGGAGGGAAGGAGGGAGGAAAGAAGAGAGGAAGGAAGGAAGGAAGGAAGGAAGGAAGGAAGGAAGGAAGGAAGGAAGGAAGGAAGGAAGAAAGGAAAGAAGGAAGGAAGGGGAAGCAGGAGGGGGATTTATTGGCTAACTTTGGAGTTCAAAAAGAGTTTCTTAGATGAAGTAAAGCTTAAGCCAACACTTCCATGATAAGTAGAAGTAATTAGCAAAGGAAGTTTGGAAAATTCTTGCAAAATAAAGGTAGGATATGAACAAAGACCTGGAAGTTACAAGTCATGGTGTCTGAGGGAACCTGCAAAGAGCTGCATGTGAGCACATTTGAGGTGGAGAGTGGTCTCAGGCAATGGGCCACAGTCGCAGGGACCACTCCAGTGAGCACCATTTATGTCAGGAGAAGGCACTTGGACTTTATCTCAGGGATGAGACGCTATTGAAGAGTTAAAAGTACATGAATGTTCTTAAGCATGCCAGTGTGACTCTGCTCCTCCCCTCCTAGAAACCTGCTCTCAGCTCATGTTCTCCAGATTGCCCACATTATAGCCCCTTCAGTTTCTACCCCAGACTCATCACAAGCATTGTGATTTATGTCTGTTCATTTCCAACAGCCTCCCAGCTTAAAGTCCACAAGAGGAGGTAGAAGATCATATAACAGAATCATAACCACGAATAATTTCCAATTGCACTGGAGATAGAAAGCATGAATATTTATTTTAAGTCAAGCAATACACCCAAGGGTAGCTATTATGCAAACATTATTAAGCACAAGGCCCACTTCTCTCTCCTGATTAATGTCCTTCCCCATGAACACTGTTGTTGAAAATTTCCTCTGCATTAAGAAAGCCTGAATCCATTAGTCGCAACTCCAGATAATAACCTTCTGAAAGATCGAGCTCAAAAACAAATAATTGAGTTGTTCTGATTATAGTATTATCCCTTATTATTTCTTGAGCTCTGAGCTTGCCTTCTTGCCTTTCTTAAAATTCCTTTACACTGAAGAAGCAATGCCCCGAGTGCAAAGAAGCAAAAGAAGTCAAATTATTAACGGAACAAAAGGTTGATAAGTAAATGAATAAATTCCTGGACAATTAACATCACATAAACTTACGTAGTTAGACAGAAATGTAAGTGGGTAGAGAACTGAGAACTGTGTCATTTTTAGAGGTTAGAAGTTGAATCATTAGTTCACATGAAATGATTTCTTTTTCCTTCAGTGCTATGCCTTCCCAAAAATGGCTATCCAGTAAACATCCCAAGGCAGAATACTAGAACTGAGAAGTCAAGATGGCCAGGAAGGAATCTGTTTCCAGTCTCTGTTCCTGAGACCTGGATTGCCCAGAGTCAAGACATCCTCAGACATCCATGCATGGAAGAAAAAATGGCCTCTCCCCTGGAATCAGTGTAGGGACAAACCAGTCCACGGGGCCACTGGCTGGCCTGCCTGCTCCTGCCATGCCAAACCCTGTCAAGGATGTGGAAGTACAGTGGGGCCTTGACTTACAAGTGTCCCGACTAACGAGTTTTTCAAGATACGAGCCGTCTCTCGGCTGATTTTTTGCTTTGAGTTGCGAGCTAAAATTCGGGTTACGAGCCAGCTTCAGATACCCCACCGCTAGTTGGCGCAGCGAACGTCACAGTGAACGCCACAACATCAGCCCAGCATCACGTGTCTCACTCGTTCACTTTAATGATTTGACATACGAGTAATTTGAGTTTCGAGCTCGGTCATGGAACGAATTAAACTCGTAAGTCAAGGCCCCACTGTATAACTACAAAATACACGCCATCCTCTCAGGGAACTGACATTTTGGCAAGAAATCCAAACTAGGAAGGGATATATTGTAATTGAATCTAGACTTATACTGACTGAGTTTAAGCCATTAACTAGATATAACCTTGGGTTAGTTACCAAGCTTCAGTTCTCTTATTAGGAAAATGGAGATCAAGTGATTTCTTTTGAGCCTCTGCCTTGCAAATAAGCTAAAGGAACAGAGAATCTGACCATTACAGTCTTCTGTGTAGAACACCATGGAATGCTGATTTTTTAAACCCATTACACTGAGAAAGCACCATTTTGCATCTGTGAGATGAGGTTAGACGAAGGCCAATTACAGCTCTAGAATTTGGCGTAGGACTACTTCCATAGGGATAGTTTACAGCTGTGATTCTTGCTTTGCAGATGAAAATATTTAAGAACAAAACATACACAGAACTTGGCAAAGCCACATATATGTTTGTAATTCTCTATAAATCAACTGAAATAACTACATTATTATATATCAAATAGAGTTTCAATAAAATAGAGTCTATTGAAAAATTTTAATCTTTCAGGTTCAGTTACTTTCTAATTTTTAAATAATTTTATTGCCAAATTATCTTCTCCTAATGACAGAAATCACCAAAATATATTTTTTTAATTCTGGAAAAAATTAAAAGTAAAAACAAAAACCATTGAACAAAGAGAGGCTTGCGGAGACTCAG